AAATAAAGATAAAAACATTAAAACCCTTTAACGTTGTCATTCAGTGGAAAGTTTCTCTACTTTAATTCTGACTAGCAGCTCTATTTGTCATAGAAACATTTAATATGCAGAGAAACGAGCGAACATGAATGAGCCTTTACAAGCTGATGGGTTTCTAAGAAATCTTCAGAAACACACACGGCGTCAGACTCGGCTAAAACTACACCAAACGGTAACAAATTTCATTTCAGAAATAAAATCTGCAATCTGAGACTTATGTATGTTCAAAATGACGTTTGTATTGTAAACAAACCCATCTTTCATAAATCCTAGTCAAACAAGTCAAAGTTAATTAACAGAAAACATCTAAAAATATGTTAAAACTTTCAAAAATATTTCATTTCCCCCTAAATTCCCATGTGCTGTTTTTTGCTTTGAGCAGCTCATGATGATCCTGATCAAAGTGAGCGACATTTCCAACGAAGCGCGGCCCATGGAGGTGGCCGAGCCCTGGCTGGACTGTCTGCTACAGGAGTTCTTCAACCAGGTACCACGTAATCCCACTTCATCCTCTGGATTAAATGTAAGCAGAGACAAAAACATCTCAGTCTAAGGCTGTGTGAAATTATCTTCACTTCTCCCTATAAAATATCTTCCAGCTGAATATTATCGCCATCTAAAAAACACTGACGGTACAGCTTTGGTTCTCCAGGCTTTCTGAAGCAAATAAGACATAAAATGAATCCTGCTGAATAAAGTTCAGCTGCGCTAAAACGATCTGAGGACAGGCAGCTGTCCTAGCTTAGCTAAACAAGTTTAGCTAGGGAACAATATGGTTAGCTAAATCCAGCCAAGCTAGCACAAATAGCTGTGTTAAAGTGATGACATTTGTCATGAATTGACTCTATTTAAGTAAATTGAATAGGAAATAAACAATTAATACAACAAAGTTTAAAGAAAAGCTTAGGTCAGCTAAACTAAAATCAACCAACTAAGTTTAGGTAGCTCACAAAGCTAACCTGGGATAAACCAGGCTTAGCTAACCTAGAATAGATAGATTAGCCTAGCTAATTCAGACTGACCTAGATTATCTAAGCTAAAACTACACCAGGATATTGAAGCTACATTAAACTAAACTGAGACAAATTAATCTCAGGTGAGTTGGCCTAAACTGAGGTAAAATAAATACAACATAGAGCAAACTAAAGTTATCCCATTAAGATAAACATAAAAACAATCGGCAAGCTAAAGATGGGCTACGCTATGCTAATCAAAACTACATAATCCATGGCACATATTGATAGAGTGAGCTGAGATAAGGCCACTTTTAGCAGACTAACAAATAAAGTTAGCTAAACTTAGGTCAGGCAGGCTATGCTAGGCTAAACTAGTCAGCAAAACAGAAAGAGCGTCACCTGAAGTAATGTGGAGGCAGGAGCCACACCCAGGTTCACAATCCAACATGGCCGCTGTGCATGGAAAACCAATATCCAATGTGATGTCGTCCCTAGCTCCACTTCTGGGATTAGACAATAATCTAAGGTGTGCAGATTGGGAGGTAAACTACAGGTTTACCTTTATCTCAGGTGGATTACATGAACTACAATCAGACACCCTGAGCTGTGATTAGTTGGTACCCTTGGACAAGTTCTGGTTCTACTCCACGCTTCAGAGAACATGGCTGCTGGGCCGAGATGTAAACTGAATCCAGGGGTTTTTGTCCTCAGAGTGACGTGGAGAAGTTGGAGGGTCTTCCAGTCAGTCCCTTCATGGACAGAGACAAAGTGAACAAACCTTCATCTCAAATCGGCTTCATCAGGTTCGTCCTGCTGCCGCTCTTCATGGAGCTCGCCAACCTCTTCCCCTGCCTGGAGGTGAGCAGACACAAATATGAAGAAATCATCCTTCAGCCAAACGCTGGGCAGTC